ACTTAATTTTTCGCCCGAAAATGAAAAAAAACGAAAGGGTAACACTGTCGTTTTTTTTTTCGGGTCGAAATTTTGAATTTTGATATCTCAGCTCTGGAAGGGTCTAGAGCCTCCATTTTTGCACTCAGGTCAAAGTCTCATGGCCCTCTATCATAATCCAGAGTTTTGAGAAGATTGGAGAAACTTAATTTTTCGCCCGAAAATGAAAAAAAACGAAAGGGGTAACACTGTCGTTTTTTTTTTGGGTCGAAATTTTGAATTTTGATATCTCAGCTCTGGAAGGGTCTAGAGCCTCCATTTTTGCACTCAGGTCAAAGTCTCATGGCCCTCTATCATAATCCAGAGTTTTGAGAAGATTGGAGAAACTTAATTTTTCGCCCAAAAATGAAAAAAAAACGAAAGGGGTAACACTGTCGTTTTTTTTTTTTCGGGTCGAAATTTTGAATTTTGATATCTCAGCTCTGGAAGGGTCTAGAGCCTCCATTTTTGCACTCAGGTCAAAGTCTCATGGCCCTCTATCATAATCCAGAGTTTTGAGAAGATTGGAGAAACTTAATTTTTCGCCCGAAAATGAAAAAAAACGAAAGGGGTAACACTGTCGTTTTTTTTTCGGGTCGAATTTTTGAGTTTCGATATCTCAGCTCTGGAAGGGTCTAGAGCCTCCATTTTTGCACTCAGGTCTAAGTCTCATGGCCCTCTATCAGAATCCAGAGTTTTGGGAAGATTGGAGAAACTTAATTTTTCGCCCGAAAAAAAAAAAACGAAAGGGGTACCACTGTCGTTTTTTTTCGGGTCGAATTTTTGAGTTTCGATATCTCAGCTCTGGAAGGGTCTAGAGCCTCCATTTTTGCACTCAGGTCTAAGTTTCATGGCCCTCTATCAGAATCCAGAGTTTCAAGAAGATTGGAGAAACTTATTTTTTCGCACAAAAAAAAACCCCGACAGGGGTAGTAACACTGTCGTGTTTTTTTTTGGGTCGAAATTTTGAGTTTCTCTGATCTTCTTACAACTCTGGATTCTGATAGAGGGCCATGGGACTTAGACCTGAGTGCAAAAATGGAGGCTCTAGACCCTTCCAGAGCTGAGATATGGAGATCCCACGTAGCATTTATGCCATCATAAAAATAGTGGGTTATTTGACAAATAGTGGGTTTGTGGATACGTGGTTTTTAAGCTTAGCTTTCAAAATTTTGATATGAAAACTGATATGAAATTTTGATATGAAATTTTGAGTTTCTCTGATCTTCTTGAAACTCTGGATTCTGATAGAGGGCTTTTGTTTAAAACGTACAATTCTACAGTCGATTTTTACCTTTAATTAATAAGTTCAATCTTTTTATTTTACATACAAACTATGAAATACTGGCAAAAATATATACAAAATGTAAATACACCTTAGAAAATGTTGCTTGCTTCTGTTTTTGGAGTAAAAAGCTGCCATGCTTCTCTTCAATGTAGATTTTTTATATATATATATATATAATATATATATATATATATTTATATATATTACTACATGCAGAGCTTTACTGGCATTTGATTGGATGACAAACGTCCTATCTCATGGACTGCAGGCTTTAAACTAGGTGAAATGCTCCAGAAGTTAAAAAAAAGGGGGCTGACATGTGATGTCCATTGTAATGGACACAGGGTCTGAACAGCAATGACCCAAATCCCTGCTCAAAACATAGGCCTATCTAAAAAATACAAATGTCCTGTACTTTATATTACTGTGATGTTGCATGTTTAGTTAGTATATCAGCTGTTGCCATTAATCTAAAGAACAATCTGTCCTGGACTTGTATATTTGACCATTGGATTTTAAATTAAACTTCCACTGGCCATAAATCATATTAAGAATGGGAACATAAAACCAAACAAATGCTTCGTGAAAAGTATGAAATGTGATCAGTACAGCACCACAAAACACATCTTTCCCACACATGGCTTCAAGCATGACATTAACTTTTTATACGTTTGGCTCTGGGGGTTTGTGCTATATTGTCTGGCAAATTGTCTTTCGTAATATGCCTTGAGCGAAATGAAGAAGATAATACGCCATGCTGTGCTATCTATTATAACTGAAAAATGATAACAAAAACACCTGGTAGGCTACTCATGACAATTTTATTTGTTTTCACTTGTTCATTGTCCGGCAAAGATGATTTTAAATGGAAGAAGGCCGTGGAGAGTTTAACATGAATGTGCTCTAGTCTAGTGTAACAACAGATAATACTGTTCTGAGAGGCCTGAAGTTTACTTCATTCAAGGTTTACATTTATTTATTAACCCAGATTTGCATAATTTGAGAACATTTTATAAACTATTGCTTTTGCCAACAGCCAGCTTTGAAAATAAAAATAATAATAATAAAAAAAATATGATTGGTTATGAAAACATTAAGGGGATCATTTGTCATCAGTTTGCAAACATGCTATTTTTGAATGTTCTCTGAAACAGTAGTGACATTTAAAAAACTTTACATTAACGTCCAACTAAAATGTTTCAGGAAAATGTATACACAAGTATTATGTTAAACATCATTAAAGGTCAATTTGAATGCACAATCTAGTAAAGTAGTAGTTCACATCTGAAAAACTTGTGCTGATAATTTACTCACCCCCATGTCATCCAAGATGTCCAATGTCATTCTTTCTTCAGTCGAAAAGAAATTAAGGTTTTTGATGAAAACAATCCAGCATTTTTCTCCATTTAATGCACTTCAGTGGGAACCAAACGGTTCAAGGTCCAAATGACACTTTCGTACAAACTGCAAACTGTTCAAAGGGCTTTAAACGATTCTAGATGATGAATAAGGGTCTTATCAAGCGAAACGATCACTCATATATAAAAAAAAAAAAATCAAAGTTTAAGTTTTATAAGCTCAAAGAGTCACCTTGCTCTGTTCTGTGGCACACGTTTGTGACTCTCCTGTTGGAACTTGTTCATCAAAATGAACTAATCTTTTTCTGAGTCATTTGGTTCACTCAACGAACAAAGCGGACGAATTGACTCGGACAAAGATTTGTTCATTTTAATGAACGAGTCCGAACAGGAGAGTCACAAACGTGTGTCAAAGAAAAGAGCAAGGAATAATCGCTTTTTTTTAAAGTATTCAGCGATTCTTTTAAAAAAGTAGCGATTCTTTAAAAAAAGTAGCGATTCTTTTTGAAAAAGTAGCGATTCTAATTAAAAAATTAGCGATTCTTTTTAAAAGTAGAGATTTAAAAAAAAAGTAGCGATTCTTTTTGACAAAAGTAGCGATTCTTTTTAAAAAGTAACGATTCTTTTGAAAAAAATAGTGATTCTTTTAAAAAAAGGTAGAGATTCTTTTTTTATAAAAAGTACCAATTCTTTTAAAAAAAGGTAGAGATTCTTTAAAAAAGTAGCGATTCTTTTTGAAAAAGTTGCGATTCTTTTAAAAAGTAGCGATTCATTTAAAAAAAATAACGATTCTTATTAAAAAAGTAGCGATTCTTTTTTTTAAAGTAGCGATTCTTTTTCAAAAATAGCGATTTTTAAAAAAAAGTACAAACCTATAAGATTGTAACTATTTATTACATAATAATTACACTGTAAAATGTGTAATTACATTGTAACAAATGTATAATTACATTGAAAATAATGTATAATTACACTGTAAAAATGTATACTGTAACAATTCTTTCTATGTTTTGCATTTTCAGTAGTCAGTCCCTAAAGAACCGATGGTGAAGGTGGTCTGCTTTTGCTGATAGGAACCCACTCAATTGCATACAACATTACATTTAGTGAAGTCAGCTAACACAAGATCGATAGATATTGACTTCAATATCATGGAGTGGTTCTCAGTTGTGTCAGTACTCAGATTTTAAGATTGAACAACAAGTGGAAACTCAACAAAGTATCAAATGTAAACTCAAATGTCGCAAACACTGAACTAAATTTTGATTATTTGTTCTGATGTGATCAGATCCCCAAAAGTCTCTTGATTTCATATTCTCGACAATCATCCACAATCACAAAACACACGATGGACGGCTTAAACCTTATGCATCCTTGCTGCAAGAGACTCTATTTAATATAGTCTAGGACTGGTCATATTTTCTTTTACCTTGCATAATTGCACTAATGGTTTTCGAGATTGAAGGCACGTCACACAACCAGTCAATGTTGACATTGCATTATCTGGCAAAATACAACAAAAATCTGTAGCATTTTCCCTTCCCTATTCATTTTGCTTTAATTATTTCAGTCTAGCTATTATAAGTTTAGTTGAATTTTATTATTGTATAAAAAAAATGTTAAATCCCATTGTCAAAACTGGATTCTGGATTGTGAACCACCAATTGTGAATCACTGATATAAAGTATCTCCAATATATATAGATGGTTGGTCTCTTATCTGGCTGGAAGTTAAAGAGGATTTTAAATAATTGCATGCTTTTATCAAGCTAAAGCAGTTGGTGGGTAGCTTGTATTATCCATGTTTTTAAACAAGATGATACACAAAGAACACAATTTTGAAGTAAAATCATTTTAAATTAATTCCGCATTCTACATGCAAATGGGAAAATTCAATGCCTCCTATTCAAGAATTGCATTCGTAGACAAAACACACTATACAGGCACAGACACTACGTGCAAAGAAACATAAATACTCATTCAAAATAAAAGCAATCCAATTAAATTAAAGGGACGGATACTCCACACAAAAAAAATAAATTCTATAATTTACCCTCATGTCATTCCATGGCATTTCTTTCTTCTGCGGAAGACAAAAGAAGATATTTTGAAGAATGTTGGAAGAAACCAAACAGTTTTGATTCCCATTGACTTCCCATTGTATTTTTTGTCCATATAATGGAAGTCAATAGGAATGGAAACTGCTGGTTACCAGCATTCTTCAAAATATCTTTATGCTCCACAGAACAAAGAAAATGATGACAGAATTAAAATTTTTGGGTGGACTATCCCTATTAAAATATTTGATTCTTTTTTCCAATAGTCATTTCAAACTGATCCTAAAATAAAAGGACATTTTATTTCAAGTCAATAAATTGGCACATCTGTCATTTGTTTATACTCCCTCTACAGTACAAACAGACCATACCTTTTTTTTTTTATAAAAAATAAACGTTTTTCATAAAATCATGTTCAGGAGAGAAAAAGGCAAACATTGTTCACACCACCAACAATACTTCAACAATTATCATGCACTTCGTGAAACCAATCATCAAGGACTTTGGACCTCCATATTATCAAGTAAAGTGTCTTTCTTAAAGAACTTTAAGGTGCGAACGGATCTCCAGACCCCTACATAACTGTCGCTCAGAGATTGTCTTGTAGGGTCCTCTGACGGGAGCCCCGGCCTTTCTAATTCTATGGACTCTGCCACTTTATTCTCACGAATGGGACCCTGGTCATTGCCATCAGCTGATGGCGTCGTCAGGCTGCCATTGGGAACGTTCTCCAGATCATTTGGAACAGTTTCCGTATCTCCATCAGGCTTGGCTGGTTCCACATAAGGTTCTCCTGGAAGTTCTGCATTTTCAGCGGACTCATCCATATCCTGGTAGGCCAGCTTCTTTCTGGTTTCGTGATACTTCACCGCACAGTAGGTGATGGAGCCGACGGTGTTCACTACCACGCCTCCCACGAACAGTTTGGTTGGCATCACGTCAGTGAAGGCCAGCATGCCCACGGTGATAGTAGCTATACTCTTGACCACCCCCACAAAACTGGTGGTGACGGCCGAGTTGATATATGTACAGTGTAGCGTGGTAAAGTTCATCGCACAGCCAATGAGGATGCAGGTACAGAAGATTCCTGTGATATACGGGTTCTTCCAACCTTCATATGTCCACATGTCAATGGCATCCATGCTAACAATGGAACAGATGAAGAGAACAGGAGAAGCCACCACTGCAATGGTGTACTGGGCCGTGAGTGGCCCATAATCACTGTCTGCACTCACTTTTTGGATGAGAACCAAATAGGTGGCGTGGATAATCACAGCTAAAACCCCAGTCACGTAGCCAAAAGGGTCACCTGTTAGATCTCCAGCACCTGCACAAGAACAGAGCGACACGGCGCAAAGTTAAAGAGACTGCGCCATACATGATTTATGTTCATTAAAATGAAACTCTGCATGAGAGAAATATTTCATGCAGACACCACATGCATAGAATCGTATATTATGGGCAATACAGCATTTAGGCAAGATTAGTGTAGTTGCTTTAAATTCTATACTAGATTCTATATCTTTAGATTTATGGAGGGCTAGTTATCAAACTGGGCAAGTTTGTCACACTGGCTGTATAGGTTTTGATTTCAGAGGACCAATTACAAAAATGCATGCAACTCTATATTCAAAAAATATATCTAAAAATGTTCTTATATTAGAATGGTCTTTACGGTCTTCATCCTCAAACATTAGCCTATATAATATTTTTGTAGCTATGGATTAAAAAAAAAAAAAAAAAAAAATTTTGTTTGTCCATAAATGTCACATTTATGTGGTCATGTTTCGTGCTACAAATATATAGGCCACTTTATTAACTACTTTAATAATTACAAAATGTATTTAAAAAATGTTTGCAGTTTCATGAATTCTGTTAACATTTTGCTGAAACCCTAATAAGCTGTTTAATGATCCATTGAAAAAACTCATATAACTCAAACTCTTATATAGTGTGACAACATGCCCCTTTAGTGGGGAATGATTTCTTCTTTTTTTCCCCCCTGGCAATATAGCGGTGATGTTCAAAACCTTTTTTTGTACCCAAGACTTGTATGTGCAATACTAATAATAACAACTGTGATTGCAAGTTTAATATACAAATAAATAAAGAACTAATATTATCTATAAATGTCCAAAATATTCCTACCAGCCAGTGCTGCTCCTCCAGTGGTGATGAGAACTGCTGTTACCACCCCAGCTGATGGGAACCCATTCTTCAGCACACACACTCCAATCCCTAACGTTGCCAAGGGCAGGCATCGCTTAAACACAACATACATGGGTAAACTCAGTCCCCTGAGAGA